ATTGTTTGCCTCACCTTGCCTGGCACCTCTTTCTAACAGACTGGCACTCTGCCCACAGCCCAAATCTTCCTCAGTCAGCCTTTTATGTGCCACCATTTGTTTTAATTGCACAGTTGTACTTGACCGAGCAAACGGTGGATGGGTACCTGTCATCACACAGTCCAGAGATTTTAAGCACTTCCGTTCATTCCTGCAGTGGCCACTGAGCCTTGGCAATAGGCAGTTTAAATTCTGGACAACGAGTTTTCAAATCGCTTCAGTGCCTACATTTTGAGAGTGGTGGAAAAAACCCGACCTCTTGATAATTAGATGGAATCAGTTTTCATAACTCGACTTTATGCATTAGAATGGTTAGCAAACTTCATTATCAGCAGCTTGATGAGAAAGCTTTTAGCTTCCAATAAAGATCTTGTGAGTAATTTCGATTTGCAACTAAACTCCATCCATTCCACACAGCACAGGTTCTTAGACAGGGTGGTCTAATGGTTTCATCACTATAAATAATTTCAAAGTAGGTACAGGAACAAGCTTACAATTAGCATCTTGCCCGTGTTCGTTTGATCCAGAGAAAGGACAGCTGCTGGCCACAGTTGAAAGCAACCACTGTGAACCCCTGTAACCCAGGAAGCCAGCACCTGCTGAGCTTGTAAAGTGATATCTTTTCTTTTGCTCTGTATACCTGGCACATTGCCGGTATCTAAAAGATTTTACGAATTAAGGGGAATGTATCTTTAAGAAATTTCCAGAAAGGACATATGACATTATCTGAGAAGAACTCAAAGCATCCTGGGCTTCCCCTTGAAGAACTCTTATAAATTCCTCCTTTAAAAATGTGTTTTTAACCCACCATAACCTGAAAGCTCCATCAAGGCAGCGATCATTTCTATTTTGCCACTGAATCCCCAGCACACCAAGCAGACATGCCATAAATAATTGTTGGATGGACAGATGAATGACAAGGAAGAGGATCTTCCATGGTGATCTTTAAAAAAGCATTTTTGATTTTGGCATCTCATCCTAACTATGTTCTGACTTAGAATTCTATAACTTGTTTGGAAAATTGCTTTGCATCCTGTTTCAGTTACTATTAGCTGCACAATAAGCCACCCCAGAACTGATGACTTATCCCTCAGCAACATTTATGTTGCTCACAAATCTGCAGTCTGAACAGGGCTCAGTGGAGAAAGCTCATTTCTGCTCTACTTGGTGTGGGATGGGGCAGCTGGGAGGATGGAGTGAATCATTTAAAATCTGCTTCTAGCCCAGACTGGGAATCTTGAACTGCTGTGCTGGCCACCCGGGGCTCCTCAGATGTTTCCCTCCAGCTCTGCGGGGCTGCTTCATGAATCTCACCAATGCTGTGGCTTCTTGCACAAAGGCCCAGGGCTGCAAAGGTGCATGTTCTATTTCTTTCTTTCTTTTTTTTTTTTTTAAAAAAAACAAAACTAAATGATCTTTTTTCAAGTATTCTCACAAATCATCAGAAATACAAATTGAGGGTTTAGAACGTGTCAGACACTGTGAGAATTATTTCCATTCTACAGATCAGAACACAAGGCTTACGTCTCCAAGTTGATTATTCCAAAATGATGTTTGTGGCATTATAGGTCCCATTTCTGTCCAAATACTTAGTGAGGATTTACCATTAGTAAACAGAGATAATTCAGTATATAGCCCAGTGGTCACGAATTCTTCAATCAGTTTTCCCAAACTCTGCCGAGAAACTTTTTTTTATTATAGATTGATTTTTTTTTATAAGATTTATTTATACATGCACAGGGTACAGTCAGAAGCGCGGGAGGGTGAGAGAATTCACCAGAGCCAGAGCAGGGAGCAGAACAGGCAGAAGGACCGAAGTACACTGCTGAGGGGAGCAGTGGGCGGCAGGAGAGGTCTGCGCTCCACGTGGGACCCTCCTCTGGTGGCCGGGGATCAAACCGGCGCTGCAGAGGCTGTGGGCAGCTTCTCAACCCAGCGCTCAACCGCTGCGCCACCAGGTAGGCCCATATTATAGATTGATTTTTGATGCCTTATTTATCCATCTTTTCAGAAGACACATTTGCGTGGCATTTATACACTTTATTTTTTCCAGGCTCCCATTCATATGAGCATTATAATAAATACCTGGCAATTGAGATTCTCTTTTTTTCAAACATTCCCATTTTGTATATTAAATACAGTTTTGCATCTGCATGATTCCTTTTCCTTATTATTACTCTTTTTTTTATTAGTTTAAGTTTCAGGTGTACAGTTTCTCACCACAGCCATTGTATATATCACACCACACTCACTAAATATCCAGTCACCTTACAAGAAGTAAGTGTTTTAAGGAGAGAGAAAAAGTCAAGTACAAGTTGCTTTGCTTTTTATGTGTTGCCTCATAAATCTCACTGTGTCACTTCTGCTGCATTTTGTCCCTTTGACCAAGTCACTTAGGCTCATAAGCAAGGGAGAGATTGGATTAGACTCCACATTTTGTGAGAGATGTATTAATAAATTTGCAAGTATGTTTTAAAATCCTCACTCACCCAATCAGTGTTCAGGAAGTTTTGCAAAGATAATATAGTCAAAACAAGTAAAATTCAGAATTGGACACATTCTGAATGAGACAGGATTTCTGCAGAAAAGTAAAAATAGAATGTCACTGTCACTTCTTACATACAGGGATGAAGATGAGGAGTTTGAATGAGCACTTATCTCACTCCTATATAAGGTAAAGCATTGTATTGCCTCCATAGGGTAGAATTTCAGGGTGCATTTTGTCCTTTGAATAGGTGTGTTAAGAAGAAAGTGACAGTCCCAAAACAGAGGTGCTTGTGGTAGCCCACTATGACTTAATACCTTAATTCCTTGACTGGCAAATATGGAATTTTCTGATTGGCACCAATGAGGTCATGTTTTTCGTTCTCCAAAGGAGCATGAGATAATCTGTCACAAGATCTGTTTCATTCCTCCAGGGTAGGTTACCTAAGCCTGAAATAATTCCTTTATTTTCCCCTCTTTCTGCCTAAACTAACTTTTATTTTGTTCAGCTCTTCTGAATACCTTTCTACTTGCTAGATGGAGTGTTCCCCGATTCACGAACCATTTCATGAAGTCAATTACATCTTTAAAATTAATTAGGGTTTTTGTTATTTAACATGGAAGGCGGTATCACAGTCAATGTCAACTTAGGCATTAGAGGCACCTTCCTAATTTCCCCATCCTCTGCTCAGCTCCTGGGCTAGGTTTCAGGAGGACTGTTTTGTGACTTTCCCCTGAAGCTCCAGTTACATTTTCCAGAACTTTTCTTCCCCAGCAACTGCCAAAATTGTCTAAAATATCATTTCTACAACAAACCTCATAATAAATGTTCTCTTTTATAATAATGGCAGTGCTTGTTAGGTGGTTAAATTCTGACTGACAGAGAAGAAGTCAACATCACATTACTTTATATAGAACTTCTCATTTTTTTTTTTTACTAAATACAGCTTGAATAGTTGTTTAGTACTTACACCATGAAGGCACAGCTTTATCTAGATGGCAGCTGTAATCCTTGCACATAGGACCTTTTAAAACCTAATGGTGCTCCCAGAATACTGTGCATTGCCCTCTATCAAAACATTACTCAAAGTGGATCATATCAAGTTAATAATATGTAGCACAGCATGTATTTTCCTTCTGCTGGACCAGAGGTTGGCAAACATTTTCTGAAACTTTTTTTAGACTTTGAGGATCTTTGTTGCCAAAACTCAAATATGCCATGACAGTGCAGGAAGCCATAGATCATTCATGGTTGAATGAGAGAGACTGGATTCCAATGAAACCTTATGCACAAACACAGGCTGTGGACAGGATTTAATCTGCGGGTCTTAGTTTATCAACCGATGCTCAGAAGCTAATATACTTTCTGTAAATGTTGACCTGGAGGAGAAAAAATGCTGCATCATGGAAATAATGATTTTCTGAAACCCCACAGAGGCTGAAACAAGCAAATGTGTAAAGAAAACACAAATGATCTGCCTAAAGGACAGAATGTACAACGGGAAAGATGTCAGAGGACCCAGAGTAGGAGAGAAGGGGAGAGGCTGATATCAAAGAATCTGAGATTTAAGTGAAATCAAGCATTTGTGATGAGAGAGAGAGAGAGAGAGAGAGAGAGAGAGAGAGAGAGAGAGAGAGATGTGTTGCAGAAGACATGTTTATTTCATAAAGTGGAGGGCAAGCAATGCCATGTTTTTTTCCATGAATCTGGAGATACGAAACCTAACTCAGGCCACCACCTGCTAAAGTTGCAAGGAAGACAGTACCAGTCATTTGTGTGTATATGTGGGTGAGGGTGGTGGAGCCTCCTTTTCTGGTTAGAGATTCCTGGTTTATGCAGTCCAGGACAATGACAGGTTTCATCTGTCTGAATTATCCCTACTGCAGGATAATTGCTGAGGTCCGCATAGCACTGGGGCCTTAGGTTCTCCATCATTCCTGCACCTCAGAGGTTCTGACTTTGAGTTCAACTCAGGCTTAAGGAATCTTACTTGATGACCCTCAAAGCATCACAGCCTCAAGGTCCGCTTCTCTGCACTTTTGGAAAACCTAACTCGTAATGAAGTAGTTGTCTCTTAACTGTTCTGCTCTTATCTGCTCTGGCTAGCTGGTTGAGTATTTATGGCCTTTATTTAGAATGAGTCTCCCCTGAAGGTTCTATCCTGGGCAAGGCCTTTGGAATCACCTAGTCTGATTTGGGGCTGTATACAGGACCCTCACATACCTCCTCTCAGGCAGCTTTCCTTTTTAGTCCTGGAACAAAGGTCTCCCTCCCCATTACCAAAGGGGTAAATACCATTGATTCCTTCCAATATACACAAGGAAATATCTCAACATATTATTATGCTACAGTAAATTCTTCACAATTATCATGTTACACATATACAATACTTCTTGCTGTTAAAAGAAATTCTTGAGAATCAAATGAAAGAGTATGTGGGAAATTTTGCTTTCTTTTATTTCTTTACTGTTTGTAGGACACGGATGTTAAAAAAGCCTCACATTTCCTGGATGAAGATGATGTTCTCACTTTAAACAAGGACAGAGCAAAGGATTTTAAGGATGAGAGGAGTTACAAAGCAAATGTCTCCTCTTGCAGATCTGTGAGTTTGCTGAATAGGTTTTTTTTTTCCCTGAACTTCTAAATTTGGTGAGTTTCTTCTAAGTCCCTGAAAATAGGTCAGCTGTTTGCAGAGTATTTAAAGAACCACAAGGAATGTTTCTAAGTTGTGATCATCTCCTCCAAAAGGGAAATGGGGAGGATTAAGGAACTGCTGAGCTTACCCCACAGGTGTGTGATTCACCTGCCTTATTCCTAAAATTCCTGATACAACAGAGCCTACATGGGATACAACGACTGAAGCAGACCCTGCTACAGTCTGCATGTTCTCTAAATCTGGGAGTGCAGAATAACATTGAAGAACATGGGTGTTAGAGGAAGATTTCCTTCTAGCTTATCCCTTTATTAGCTGTGTGGACTTCATGCCTGGGACTCACTGTTCTTAAACCTCAGGTTCCTTGTCCCTAAATGGAGATAATGGTACCTCTCTGATAGGGTATTGTGGCATCGTGGTTAAGAACATGACACGGAGTTAGACTACCCACCTCCTGTTAGTTCTGTGCCAACTTGGGCAACTTCTTTACCCTCTCCAGGCAGAGTTTACCTACGTAGAGAACAGAGCCAACAACAGGACCAAGCTAGGGCTGCTTTAAAAATGCTATACATTGAGAGAAGGAAAGTATTTAGGACAGTTCCTGGTGCCAAGTAGAGCTCAGTAATGTTAGTTTTTTATGTTAGTATCAGAAGCAGGGGTGAAATTGGGGGTACTAATATCAAAGAGCTTCATGGTGGATGCGGAGGAAGTGCAAGGTGCAAGACACTCTTTCCTGGCATCTGTTCTTTGCTGGAATGGATATCTATATTCACTTGTTGACTGATACTCAGAATCCAGTCATTGAAAAATAGATTCATTTGTCTCAGACTGTATGTTTTGGTCATTTTTGGTTACATAAATACTACCCCTTCCCAAATTAGTGACTTAAAATAACAAGCACCATTCACTATTTTTCTTGATTCTTTGGGCTGATTGGGCAGTTTTGCTTCAAGTGGTGCTGGGGGACCTGCAGTCATCTGGGTCCCTGGGGGGGCATGTGCAAGGCATTTCCCTCACGTGGTGCCAGGAGGGTGCTGATTGCAGGTTGGGAGGGCAGCTAGGTTGCCTGGCTATCTGGATTGCCCTCTTCATAGCCCCTCTTTGTGGTTTGGGTGCTCACAGCATGTATCTGCATTCCAAGTTGCTAGTCCTGTGAGATATTGACTGAGAAGTTCCAGCTGTCACTTTGGCAACCTCTGTGATTCCAACCAGTTGTAGGACCAATCCAAATTTAAATAGAGGGGAAATAGACTCCATTTCTTGATGTGAGGAGCATGACAGGGGGACAAGAACCACATAGCCATCTTTGGAGACTAGCTATTTCTATTGCTGTCTATTGTGTGAAATAAATTACCCCCATCACCACAGGTTAGAACAAAGAGTATTCATTATCTTGCATGGTTTCTGAGGGTCTGGTTCTGGAAATGGCTGGAAATGGCTAAGCCCAGGGGCTCTATTTCAATCTCTTAGGTTGCCTGGTCAAGCTATAAGCTGGTACTTCCATTTCTGAAGGAGCTGGAGTATCTGCTTGGCTGCTCACTCATGGTTGTTGGCAGGAGGGTTCAGTTCTGGCTGCATGGTGCTTTCCACAGGGCTGCTCATGGCAGGGTCTGCCAGTAAGAATGGTCTAAGAAAAGAGAGAGGGAGGGAAAGGGGAGAAGGAGAGGAAGAAGCAAAGCAAGGAAGTGAGAGTGTCTTTCTCTGTCTCTGTCTCTCTCTGTCTCTCTGTCTCTCTCTGTCTCTCTCTCTCTCTCTCTCTCTCTCTCTCTCTCACACACACACACACAGAGTGATCGCCATCATTTTATTCCCAATCTTGGAAGTGGCAGACTGTCCACTCCTGCTATATGCTCTTGGTCATAGGGACCAAACCTGGTACAGTGTGGTAGGCACTACAAAAGGATCACTGGGGGAAATTCAGAGGTTCCTTACCCCACTAACAGTGGAGCCTAGTATGAGAAGCTTCTTGGGATCTTGTTAAATATGCAGATTTCTTGGCTGAGATTCTGGCATGGACCACACTTTGGAAGACCTTGACTATATCAAGACTTAATCTGAAGTCAGTCTAATGTGCCAAGGGCAACTAGTGCTCTGCTGTGAGCACACATTTACACTTTAGTGTGAGAGAGCCTTTCTCCTCTGCCTCTCAGCAGGTTTTGATGCTTACTGAACAGGGTGATCACACATCCCTGAGTTGTTTGGAGCTGATGCCACTGATAGGTACTTGGTTTGGGTTTGGGCTTTTCAGTGAATTCGCCCTATTTTTTTAAATACTCAATTTTTTATTGTATTTGTGATAATTTCATTTTTAAAATTTAAATTTTTTAATTTTTTATTTTTTAATAATTAAAAAAAAGATTTATTTATTTATTTATTTATACAGCACTGGGGTACAGTCAGAAGCACGGGAGGGTGAGAGAATTCACCAGAGCCAGAGCGGGGAGCAGAACAGGCAGACTGAAAAAGTGCACTGCTGAGGGGAGCAGCGGGTGGCAGGAGAGGTCTGCGCACCATGTGGGATCCTCGTCCGACAGTTGGGGATAGAACCGGTGCTGCAGAGACTATGGGCAGCCTCGCAACCCAGTGCTCAACCGCTGTGCCACCGGGGAGGCCCTATTTTATGTATTTTTTACATCATTTTTCATTTTTACACATTGTATGCATTTTCATCTTGGTTATAGTCCCCATACAATTCCCAGCACCCTTGTTTTGATCCTACTCCCTCCCCGCCCCCCATAGTGTGTCTCTGGTCTCACTCATAGTAGGAATTTAGAAAACCTAAATAAGGGGCCAGGAAAAAGACTTATTATAATAAAGTAAAAATCAAACTCTCCCTATTTTTGATTCTCCCTAAGTGGCAGATCCCTGCTACTGATTAGCATGTATGTTCTCAAGGTCAGAGTTCACATTATTGTCTACTTACATGCAGATTATGGAATTATGTCCATGATGTCACCTGTGGAATTATGTCCATGATGTCACTTCCATGGATTTCATGGCATTCCCTCTAAGACACCAAGTTCCCACTTTTCTGGTTTGACCTACCACCATGGGGAAGCCTCACAAATGCATTTGGTTTTGTCCCTTCCTCCCTTCCTCCCTCTCACTTTCCTCCTTTCCATCCCTCCCTTTTATTGAGCACAGTGTCTCTGTAGGAGTGACTTTTGGGATGTCTGCTTTGCTCATGTTTCCCTCTTCTCTTTTGCCCCTCTCCACTGGTCCCACTGATTGAACCTTGTAGGCTCAGCCTTCTGAACTTAGCAAACTGGATCACTGTGCACACCTGACTGCTCAGTGCAATCTCATTCCTTCCCTGGAACTTGGAATTGGGACCCAAAGGGAGACAACAAAGGATTAAAAAAATTCCTTTTTTTATGTGATTGGATTCCCGCCCTGTTGGTGCAGAAATTGTGGGGGACTGAGTCCCTTCAGTGCCACTCTGCCCTTTCTCTGTGTATGCTGATAACAGAAAAAGCCATTTTTTAGTGATGAAAGAGCAAAGCAGATGTTGGGGTGAATTGGTGATAGAACATAGGTGAGCATGACCTTCGGGTTCTACATGGCTTTCCATTTCTTACGTTGGTCTCTCCCCAATCTTGCTTGGATTCCATGAGAGTCTCATATATGCTTTTATTATGCATCCCAACTCCCCATTCTTTCGATCTCAAGGTAGCCACACAGATAATGTTACTTGGTTATTGAAACAGTCCGTCTCTGTAGAGATGGAGACTGAACTGGTGAGTTCAGACATTGGAAGAGCAGGCTCTTGCTCAGGTTACCTGTAGAGCAATGAAGTGTGGGCATTCTCTTTCCACCTCTCAAAGAGTTCAGAGGACAGGTGAAACTGGGCTCTGAAGGATGGCAGACAAGGTTCTAATGTAGTGTGGCCAGACTAATGGGTAAAGGCATAGGAGAGGGCAGCCCCAGAAGCTGTATAAGCGGTTGCAGAAAAGACAATGGCTTCTTATGTCATGTTAAAAATAATACAGTATTTTTCCAAAAGAGAAACGAAGAGAATCTAAAAGCATATTTTGTAAACAATTGGCCTGGAATATCTCCTCATTATGGATTTGTTTGCTCTGCTCTATAACAGAACTGTTCCTAGTAAATGTGTTTGGAATTCAAATGCCTATCACATATACCTTCTACACAGCTCGGCCTATGCTTTAGAGTAAGCTATTGGAAACTACCCGTAATCCTTCATTCTGGTTGCAATATTTTTGTGGCTTGTGAGAGGCATTAAAGAAAGGAGACTTCACACATCATGTTGGGCTCAGGCAGATGTTAATTAGAGACAAAAGCAATCTGTGTCTGCTCTAACGGCAGTGGAAGACTCAGTATGCACTGTGTGTTTTACTCATACACAGTGCATTGAAGGTAGATTTCTGTTATTTTTTTGTATTCTTTTTCTTTCACAGCTACGGTTCTATGCTTTTCCTAGGGATTCTGACTCTCTCAATTTCCTCAGGCATTTGACTTTTTTTCTATATAGTTGCTATTGCATTTGAAATTTAATTCTTTTCTGCATCTAAGTTTTGTTTGTTTTTGTATCCTGTAACTACACCTCTCTCATTTTCTTCCTGGTGGGCAGATTCAACCATGGATAATCTAGCAGTTGGCAGCCCAATGATAGGGTCACATGAACACTTAGTTTTTTACTTTCCTCATATTGCCAATCTTATAAGCTTTCCCTGTTCACTAGTATGTTCAATGATGATGACTCAGAGTGGGAGGGGAAAAAAGAACTCAGTTAAATTTTGGTGATTTTCAAGCAACTTGATGAAAGTTTAGTTGAGGATAATTTGAAACTCCTAGCTTAAGTAAGAGCTTTGAAGGCTAGAAGAGCTGACTTTCCTGGATGTGCCTGAGAGGCAGAGAAGGGAAGGCACTCCATGATCTGAGGACAAGCCCAGGTTTCACTGCCACTTGTGTTTTGAATGTGTCTAGAAAAAGCTGGGGCCTAGGGTTCTTTTTCGAGTCTTAGCAAGTAGTAAAAGAAGTATTTTTCTTAACAACATGTGCCTAGTGGAGACTTCTAGATTAGTGTTTTATGGGATTGCTTGCTTCTCTTTGGGGGGTTTAGCACAGTCAGAGGATTCCCCCTTCTTCATTGAGAGGTAGAGGTAGGTAGAATAAATATCAGGCCCACGGGTGTACCTTCTAGTCTTGCTTTGTTATCACAAGTTATGTGAAAACAATAGATAATACAAATCACATCCATTATAGCAGAAGCAATACAATGGTAAAAACAGACTGAAGTTTCACTGTGCCAGCCATTTTACTTACCTGTTACACTTTGTTCTCACGAAAACCTGTGTGAATCACAAAATATATTACCTCTGTTGTATTACCTCTCTCTTACAACAGTAAGAGAGAAATAGCTGAGTTTGTCCAAAGTTCCACAGTTGGAAGTGGCATGAGTCCAACTCTTCTCAGCCACACAGTCTACTTTCTCCCCACATGCAATTTCCTGGTCTCTCTGGGCCTTGGTTTCTTCTTACAAAAGGAATACTCATGCTCTCTTTGCCACCTTCCTGCTGCTACTGGAGAGGAGCAAATAAGAGTGTGAAAGGAGCAATGTTTGGATGCTGTAAAGCATAAAGTAGTAGAAAAAGACAATTATTTGGATGGACCTGCTGCTGAGAGGGAAGGAGGGAAGGGGAGAGAGAGAGAGAGAGACAGAAAGAGAGAGAGAGAGAGAGAGAGAGAGAGAGAGAGAAAGAGAGAGAACCTGAGTGAGCAAGAACAAGCAGGCTCCCTAGAGGGAGAATTAGAGTTTGACCTTCAGCAAAAGGGCTGCCATCACTGAGCTGAAGCCCAAGCTGGGACTCTGGGTCCCTTTTTCCACAGCTGTCAGATGGCAGGGCAGGGGACAGACGCCAAGCTGCGCATCCAGGCATGACTTGCCACTCATGCCCGCTTCACCAGAGGCTCTGGGCAGATTCACTGGGACTCTGACCTTTGGAATGTAAAACACTTGTCAGGTTGCCAAGTGCCAGCGAGCCAGGATGGATGCAGGCAGGGAAGACCATTTCTGTGACTCTTCCAGGGCTGTGTGGACTCTGGACCCTGAGCTGAAGAGAAATGGCTCAGCTCAGCGTGTTCTTCTGAGCTCCACCTCTACCTGGACGTGGGAATCTTCCTAGTCTCTGGTTGGTGTTTCTCAAGTTTTAAAAACCATGCCTCCATTTTTACTATTGTGGTGCTTTCTGTAATTTGTATAATAATTTGTTATATATTGTTTGGTTTTGGCCCCCAAAATTGTGTTGTTTATTTGAGTAAGCATTTCCAATTATGCCTTCCAATTCTGATCAGTCTTTCTAAGACTAGGACTTTGCATCTTTGTTGTTTAAATATTTCTAGGTGGGCAGATGGTGAAATGACTGTCCATCTCTCCCACCCAGAATGACACTCCCCTTTGCCAGGGACTTTGCTCCCGCTTTAACTTTCCATCCGTAGATGGAGTCAATTTTTCCACCTAAAGTCTGGACCTGGCATTGTGACCTGCTCTGGTAGAAGGGACATAAAGAGATGCGATCCAGGTAGAAGCTTGGAAAGGGTGTGTGTACTGTTTGGTTCTGCTTCTTAGGACTCCTTTGTCACCATGTGCAGAAGCCCCGACCAGCCCTCTAGAAGGTGAGAAAACATGGGGAGCAAACACAGAGGAGGCCCCTGCACTAAGTATTCTACCAACCAACAGGCATGTGAGCAAAGCCACTCTGAGTCATTCCAGCTCTTATGAGAAAATACTAGACCCGAGTGGCTTAAAAATGACAGAAATTTATTTTGCGCTGGCCTTACTGCTAGGAAAGCCGAGATCACGGGATCTGCAGATTCAGAATCTGGTGAGACCCTCATTCAGGGTCTTCTCCCTGATGATCTTGGTCTTCTCCCCATGTTGTCCATGGCAGACAGAGTGAGGGAGCTCTCTTGGATTTTGTGCTGTGATTTGTAATAGTTTCACATTTTATCTTTGTCCTATTCTTGGCACAGCACTTTTAAAACCCTTGGTATTTCTGAAGTGGTAAGAGCCATAAAGGTATCTTTTGTTATGTTAGTGAGGCAACTTTTTATGGAAATTCCTAAGGATGCAAGGAGAACCAGCCATGTGATTAGAATTAAGAATGGGGCTCAGAGATCTCTCAGGTTGATGAGCAAGAAAACACCCATGTGCTGGGAGGGTGGTGCACCCAAAACTCAGTGGTAACAGATCTTGTGCTCACATTGCCCCCAGACCTTACTCTATATACCTCCTTTTCTGGCTGTTCATTCATATCCATAATACTCTTTGAAATAAACTGATAACCTAGTAAGTACTCTGTTTTCCTGAGTTCTGTGAGTTTCCCTAACAGATTAGTTGAACCCAAAGAGCAGGTCATGGGAGCATTGACCTTTTGGTCAGATGCAAGGTAACAACCTGGACTTGAGATTGGCCTCTGAAGTGGGGGCTGGGGGTACAGTCTTGTAGGACCAAGCCCTTGAACTGTGGCCTCTGATGCTGATTCCAGGGAGTAAGGTCAATATCAAGTTTAATTATAGAACACCCACCACTAAAATCTCCCCCCTACATCTGATGCTAGAAATGAAGTTAGATGAACTGTAGTAGTGGAGCCTCCCTGGTGGCCTCAGGGTTGTCTCAGCACTATCACCACTATGGCCTGAGTATGATCCCTGGCCAGGGATCTAACTCACATATGGCATATCAGACCTCTCCTCTCGCCCGCTGCTCCCCTCAGCAGTGTATTTCAGTAGATCTTCCTGTTCTGTTGCCTACCCTGTCTCTGGTAAATCCTCTTACCCCCTGCATTTTGACCTACACACACACACCAAAAATAATTAAAAAAACAAAACAAAACAGATGAACTGTAGTGTGAAACAACAGGAGATACTCAGAAGCACTCTTTCTCTAAACAGGTCTCTTTTAACTAAAGGAAATGTTTCTCAAAAAACCTAAATAAGAACAACATAAAAACCAACCAAACAAAATACCAGGTCTCTCTTTTATGGGTACTAATTCTATTCCTGAGGGCGTCACCCATAGACAAGTCACTTCTCAAAAGGCTCTATCTCCAAATACCATTGCACGGGGGATTGTTTTACCATAGGAATTTTGAGGGGATCAAAATTTGCTATCTGACCCTTTAATATATTATGCCCTCGTACTTCCAGTCCCAGCCATGTTGCAGTTCACAAAAAAGATTTGCCGATGTGGGCTACACCCATACTGCTTAGTAGACCCACAAAGTAGGACGTATTTGTTGTTTTATGTCACCAAGTTTTGGAGTATTTTATTTTACAGTTAACTTGATTTAAAAGAATTCAGTCCAAATCCTTTGACAATTGGATTGGCAAACGAAAATCATTGGACTAGCCACTGTCTTTGTGAGGTAAGTTTTATGAAGAGTTTTATTAGAGTCATTTAAAGTGCTTTTTGAGTTTATTAAAGTTTTACTAGAACACATTTAATGCGTTATGTATTTTTTCTAGCTGTTTGAGATATAATTGACATATAATATTGTGTAAGTTGCAGGTGCACAGTGTGATGATTTGACTCATGTATATATTGTGAAATGAGTACTGTAAGGTTAGCTAATATCTCCATCACCTCATGTAATGTACAGGATGGTGACTAGAGTTAACATTCCTGTATTATATACCTGAAAGTTGTGGAGAGTAAGAAAGTGTTCTCACCACATACAAAGTAATTATGTTATGTATTTTCTTTGACTGCTTTTGAGTACTAATGGCTGGGTTGAGTACTTGTGACAGACCAGATAGCCTTCAAAGACTAAAAATTTGCTATCTGACCCTTTAAGCAAAAGTGGGCTGAGCTCTGCAATTAGTTATGTTTTTCTAATTGCTGCATAGGATTCTTCTTGATGCTAACTTTTTGTTGATTGAGTGTACTGAGAACGTTTGCTCTAAGTCTATAATTTATGCTCTACCGACTGAGCTAGCTAGGCAGGTTTTAATTTTTTAAAGGTGTCTTCTGATGACTATCAAGTTCTTAATTTTTTTTTTTTTTTTTTTTTAGAGAGGCAAATTTATAAATTCATTTTTTGTTAGCCAGATGCTTTTTATGGTTTATTTAGAAATCACCCCTACCCCAAGATAAATAAACACACACACACACACACACACACACAGAAACCAAAAAATAACTCATTTAGTTTTCTATGTAAAAATAGTTGTTTTCATATTTATCTCCTTAGAATCTCTGGAGTTCAGTTTTGGATATAGCGTGAAGCAGGAATCCAATTTCCTCTTTTAAATAGGGATTGAGGTTTTTTTTTTTTAAACAATTATTCCTTCACAACTGATGTGATATGTTACTTTGTGATTTAGGGTGTGTGGGGTCGGGCTGAGTGGCAGGCCAGCAGGTGGGACCAGCCAGCAACCCTTGTATCTACCAGGTGGTTCCTGGCAGCCTAAAAAAAAAAATCATCTATTTTTAAATAGCATTTTAGAGTCACATAAAAATTGAGATGAAGGTATAGAGATTTCCCATATAGTCCTTGCCCCCACACATGCACAGACTCCTCAATTACCAACATCTCCAACCAGAACGGTAAATGTTACTCTTGATGAACCTGCATTAACACATCATAGTCATCCAAAGGCCATAATTTGATAAAACTTATCAAACTTGATAAAACTTAACTCCTTGATTGTTTTAGAGGCAGTGCTTTTGAGGGCCATGCAACTGCTGGGTAAATGTTTAAATGGGTCCTGTTGAGAGGCCACCCCTCACTTTTCACATACCCCCCACTTCTGCTGCAGGAAGGTTTTCTGGTCCTTGGTGTCATTCATACCCAGCCATACTTTTTCTTGTTCCACTCCCATGGGCAGCTGCTTGTGTGGGTCACCTTATGGAATTCTCATATCACTTTGCTGGGTTCCTTGGACCTTGTGATCTTCATACTCAATGTAAAGTGTAAAGAGTATGACTTGGCCTCCAGGTCTGAGCATCTTTACTTAGCATTTGACTTTAGGTTCATTTACATTCTTTCAGGCAACTCTAAAACAAAGATGTCTCCAGATAAACTTGAAGAACTTGCTGAAGGAGTCTCCTGTGATGCAGTAATGTTTGTGACATTGCCTGAGGGGGAGTCTGGGGTCACAGTGGGGAAAATATGCTGGTCCCACTCCTGCTGGAACTGTTCAGCATGTGTGATATTTTCTTTGGAATGCACCCTGGGGGAAATTTGGCTCCATCATCAGTCCTAGCACTGCTGCTGATATTGATGGTGGAGGGACAAGCCACAAGGCACATTGTTTACCCAGCTCAGCTGCACCCAGGCTTCCTTGATTCCTGGTGCAGACTAGGTAACATCAGAGAGACTGTAACACAAGGAGAAGCCCTGGAGGGCCTGAGCTAGGCATGTTTAAGCTGTCTTTGTCCTTCTGCATGGAGGCCTGGCCAAGGCTGGCCCTACAAAAAGAGACTTCCTGCTCTGATTTGTGTTCATGAGACCAGAGATGGCCTCTTCCACTGAAGGCAGGATAGGGGGCTAGCAAGCATACTGACTACTGTGCTCCTCTGTTCTTCTGCTCTATCTCCTGATCCTCCTCAGGATCTCCCTTTTCCTTTGAGTGTCCCTAGTGTAGCAATTGCTATGTCTCCCACTCCGCCCCAATTCATATATTGAAATCCTAACCCCACCATGTGACTGTATTTGGAGATAAAGTCTTTAAAGAGGTAATAAAGTTTCAGTAAGATCACAATGTGGGGCCTTAATTTAATATGACTTGTGTTTTAGTAAGAGAAGATACTAAGGAAGCACAGGCACAGAGACCATGTGAGGACAAGTGAGAAGGTGACTATTGATAAGCCAGGAGGAGGCCTCATTAGAAACCTTCCCTGACAGCACCTTGATCTTGGACTTTCAGCCTCCAGAACTCCGAGGAACTGAATTTGTTTATTTCACTCAGTCTGTGGTATTTTATCATGGCAACCCTAACAAACTAATATAGCAATTAAAGGTGGGAATGCCAGGCTCACTGAACTCAGTTCTTGGGTTAGCTTGTGGGATGGGAGGGAGTGTTGCTGTTGGTCAGATCTGCAGGCACCTCAAGCTGAGGGTGTAGACCTGCAACTTGATCTCAGGTAGCCCATGAGCTGATAGATCATCATCACCTCTGTACCTCTGGCCTATCAGTGAGACCCAGATCTCTTCTGGTATGTAACCCATGGATGCCTTCAACTCAGCCTGTAGGGGGTCCTTATAGTCAGAGAGTGACTCTGCATAAGGCTTTAGATCCTCATCCTTCATGAACCACGCTCATCCTTGGATCCTTCATCATTGTATAGAGTGCCTCTCTTGCTGGGACTGAGAATGAGAAATTTCTTGATCTGCTTTTCACATTCTATGGACAAGTGAAAGGGAATATGTTCTATTCTTCCCAGTACTCACTTCTACAGCTCCTTGGAAATTCTGCCCATCTAAGGCAAGGATTCACTGCAGATAATACCCAGGCTCCATTGTACTTTTGACCCTGGAAGAGTTACACTGTCCATCATAAAGTAGGGCTGATTATTGCTGAAGCTGTCATCTACCACATTCATGTTCATGTTTGCATCCGAGAGTTGGTTTTTGGGCCTCCCTGGTGGCACAGGCAGTTGCAAGTGCAGCACTGAGAGGCTGTCTGCAGCCTCTGCAATGCAGGTTAGATTCTGGCCAGCCGAGGAGATACCCACATGACACGGCAGACCTCTCCTGCCTCGCCTGCTGCTCCCCTCAGCAGTGTATTTTAATAGATCTGCATGTTCTGCTTCCCACTCTGTCTCTGGTGAATTCCCTCACCCTCCTGCACGTGTAGCCTGTACCCCGGTTCTTGTATGCATGAATAAATAAATCTTTGGTAAAAAATTAGTTGGTTTTTGAATTCTCTAAGGACAATAAAGTTCTGGTGCCAATAATGTATAGCAGATACTCCCTGGTGGAGTTTCACTTTGATCTTTTTTAGTTGCATCATGCCATAAGTCACTTGATGTTCTCTGTCTCTTGTGTACTCCATGACAAGGAGTCTTGTCTTCAGTCTATCATGTCAGATAATCTGTCAGATCCAAAGTCTTCGAGATTTTTCACTTTGTAGGATAGTCCCTGGAGACTGGAGGAATTCTGTTGAGTCTTGTCAGTGACCTTAACCACCACCCCTTCCAAGTCGGGCTATGTTATTCCCTTCACCATGGTGAAGGTGCTCCTGCTATTGGTCTTGAGAAGATCATTATTGCCAGCATGGTCTCCTCAGCAGCAGAGATGGCAGAAAGCTCCTGCAGCATGAAGGATTTACTGCTGGCCTTGAAGACAAGGTATCCAAAGGTCAACATCAACCTGTGGAAAATGGTGAGAAGCTGACCCAGGTCATCTTCAAAGAAAATCATTCTCAAAGGCCACCTGATGAACTATTCTTTATAATGGAATAAAAACACAGTGGCAAACTAAATAATGAGAGTAAGAATAAAAGAAAAGAAAGTCAGAAAGAAAAAAGAAAAAATTGAGAAAAGAAAAATAGAATAAAGAAAAATAAGAAAAGTAAATATTAAAAAAAGAAAAACAAAAACAAAAAATGAGAGAAAAGAGTGAAAAAGATAGTAACAAAACAAAATACACAGACAGCACAACACTAAAAAGAAAACAAGCTAAATTTTGGTCTGCTGTCCCTCAGATCATTAAAAACCAGCCTCCTAAGTTAGAAGGAACACAAATCTAGGCTCCACCAGTGCCTTCAATAGATAGGTACTCAGAATGCCATAATAATGGCTCCTTATGAGATCAGAGCAAGAAGCCACCTGTAGTACTGCTGGTAATCCACAATAGTTTCCTCATTTTGGGGGTATGAAGAATCCTATAGTTTTTTAAAAATTATGAACTCCCAAAAGCTTATTATGTGGGTGATAGCTCTCGATATTTACCTTATTAGAATTAAAAGCTATAAGAAACTTCAGTGCCTTTTTCATTTCTAGCTTGAAAAATTGTAATAATTTTTGGCTCATTGTATTTTTTTATGTCCAAATATGTGTGGATTTTAAATGTATATTCTCGTTGAATTCTTTTATTTTATTCATATTTCAGTCTGTGTTGGTAAAATAAACAATTCTATAAAACTGTAGCTAAAATAGTATTCCAAAAACCATGAGCTCTCAATATCACCATGTATTCATTAAATATTTTAATTGTCTCATGAATTTTGAAATTTTTGGTTTTTCAGATTTTATTTCCAAAATCAAGATCTAAAACAGGTCCATACATTCATTGAATGTCTTTTAAGCCTCTTTCAATTGATCACTTTCCACTTCATTTTCTTTAACCCTTATCATAATTTATTTCTGAGGAATTCAGGTTCTTAGTTCCCTATTGTTTGGATTTTGCTGACTGTGTTCCTG